TCTGATGCGTGTGTCCATGTGAGTTCCTTCTCCAGAAGACTTGAATAAAATTCACAGAAAGGCAAGTTTGCCAAAGCTGTTTATTTGAAAACTCGAATTGCCATCACAATTTTGGCGTTGTCGGCAGGATCACACGCGTGAGGACTCTGACACTCGGAGCTGAAGGTAAAACCGTGCACGGCTGGAGTCTGGGAATCTGGACTTCAAACCTCCCCTCCAAACTATGGGTGAGACGTTGAGGGCCTGACACCTGAGTGTCCGAGGCTCGCTTACTGCTGTGATCCATAAGAATCTGATGGCTGGCAACACAAGATGAATAATAGGACCTGAAGTCTGACATCTGGGTTCGCACTCAATAGCTCATAACCAAGTTAACCGTATGTTAATTTCAACTGCTCACACAGGTTAAAGCTGTACACTTTAAAACATGTAGTGTATCCACAAAAATAATCTGCTGTTACATCGATGAAATGATGGGACCTTTCAGCGCGTTTCTAGCTTTCCAATGCCTTTTCTATTGGGATTCAATAAATTATCTACAAAATAGGTCACCTAGTGGAAATCAAAATGATGTCGTAGGGTTGCACTGGCATACAAAATAACAAATGAAAAAAGGTTTACGTGACACTTATTCCTAATTTTCAAACCGTGAATGAGAACTGCAATGACTGAAACATATTGTTCCTAGCATTCAATTTTCTCAAGAGATTTGTAATCTGATGGGGAAAATGCTGCCATCATTTATTTATGCTTTACAACTGACAGATCTCCATGAACTATGAATGCACCTTTGCCTGAAAATCTTTTGAACAAAATACTGAAATAAAATGATGCCATATTGCTTAAATACCTATTAAATGTGTTTGGAGAACTGACACACAGTAGGAGGTGTGGTGCAAAGTATCAGAGTTAGAGTTAAAAAAAACTCAACCGTAAAGAAAAATGAATGACTGAGAAATACACAAATGGGTTTATTTTAGCTGGAATGATCAAACACATCACTGTTGTTATGAGTTCTTAAGTGTAACACTGACATAATACTGCAAAGCGCACAGAGCAAATACACACACACACACACACACACACACACACACACACACACACGACACATGCAACAACAACTAGGGTCTTAAGAAATAGTACCGTACAGGGAGATAATACAGAGATAAGAGACTAATTTTAAGATCTACTGTTAACTCACTTGAAAGAAATTGGGCTAAAGATAATCAAGATTTATTATTTTAAAAGTACCCTCCCGACTACTTGGGATCCCAAAAAATTCTTTCAGTGTCTCTAGTCCAAAACATGGCCAAGACAGCTTGTCTAGGGGTACAAACTCATCTTTTCCTCTCAAATTGTGATTTAAATTTACAGTAATGCATGTTTAGATGTAGATTTGATACTGTATGTATTCTCAAATCATGGCTACCTGTTTACAATCACTTTATAACAGACACAGGTATTGGGACCACATTCAATCACAATTATTCCGATGAAAATCAGCGTACCCACACTTTTTTTTAGCATCATTGGGGTATTAATAGATAAAACCATTGCTATAGGGTTTTTCTGCTTCACAAGAAAAGCTGTTTTGTAGACGTAACATTAACGAAGTATTAGTTATTCAAGGTAAGTGAAATATGTAGTGGTAGCACAGATAAGAATTTTATAGTAAAGATCAAACTTTCAAACAGGGCAATAAATCAATAAGTGTCATTTCCCTGTCTTTTTGCAAACTGGACACTGAGCCTTGCACTCTGTATCACATATTGATCAAAATATGTGGGGAAAAGTGATACATAACTGAAAAAGGGGTCAATTATGTTCTTTTTTTTTTTAATTTAAAATCATGATTTGTGTTATATGAAGACAAATCAAACCGTAATGTCACACACAACAACTGTGCTGCGACTCAGTCTTCAACTTTGTGAGCAGGCCTACAGAAAGTCCAATGATGCTCCACCGTGTTCTCGTTTGCGCGCTCACTCATATGATGCACACGTGTGTTGCGGATGGTGAAGCCTTGTTTCATTATATAGTCCATGAGGTTAACCCTTAGGGACACCTCTTGATGGTAGTCACATGGTCCAAAGGTGAACGAAACCTGGCAGTCTCTGGTGTCCATCATGTGTTTGTTCCACTTGGTGAAGTTGTTGGAAATACCTTCCAGCAGGCCGTGAACCTTTGTAGTTATGGTTAGCTGCGTGATGATGACAGCCACTGGGTTTGAATATTTTGACAGTTTCCGAGTACTAGAGAGCTCCACAACCTGCTCGAAGATGTCGGGAGGGTACAGCGGTTTGGGATCGTTAAGGCACTGGATCAAAGGTTCAATCTGGTAGAAGTCTGCTTCTTTCCTGAGGAGGTCTGTCTCTGTGAAGTCCACAGGGAGGGTAAGCTCAGACGTTCGCAGAAAGTTCAGGATGTACCGGAAAAGTGTTCCATCACGATCGATGAAATAATTCCCCTGGGAATCGCGAGTTGTGGGGAAATCTCCCCGGAACATGGCACCCAGCATGGAGTCTGGATAGCGCTGCAGAGTGGATAAACTGGTGGTGTACATGTGGCCTCCCACGTTCAAGGTAACGGGAGTAGTCATCTAGGGAAAAAAGGAACAGAGAAAGGAATCACATGTTTTTGCATTCAGTAGTTGTATGAACAGTGTGAATTTCAGCTGCAAATTTATTATGCACACCCAGCTCAAATAAATGGAGTCTAGACTGCATTACCCTGGACTCACACAGGGAACGCCAGCGCCATGTTACGGCTGCGCTGCAGCCAATCTAGTCAATGGCTGAGGTCACAAGTGCACCGCAGCGTTTCCCAGAAGCAGCTCTCTGCTCATTGGAGAATACGCAGCGAGTCTATTTTTGACGGAAGCCACATCAAGCAGCACAGAGCAGTTGAACCAGGCAGGAAGTCAGACACCGAACAGCATTGAAAATCCAGTCAATTTTCAAAATAAAACATCCTGTGCAGAATCCCAATTGAAAAAACCAACAAAACACACGATTAAAACAGACAAAAAAAGAAAAACAATTTAGCTATGTAGCCTACTTAACCATGGTAGAAGCATAAAAATGAAAGACTAATTACCAAATTTGAATAAGTCTGCAAAATCAGGCAGGCAAAACACTCTGAAATGCTCCCTGTGGGCTATGAAGCCGTGCAGAGGACGGAACAAAACTGGGTTGCAGAGAACTGTTCCCGGTTGTAAAATACAAAAAGAACAAATTAACAACAAGTCAACAATGTGGGGCAGGCTACAACACTCCACTCCTGAAACGCTTAGTCAGTGTGAGTTGATGCTGGGCAAAGCACAGAACGAAACTGCAGCAAAGGTGTTCCCTGTGTGAGTCCAGGGTTAGTTTCAGACGCTAGATGTAAACTAAAGTGGGAACAGGGTGGACTTATCATAAAAATCAGCCAACATGTCTTTATCAGAAACAAACATCTCACATTGTTCTTATTCTAGTCTGACTTCTATACATCTCTTACCTTATGTCCCCAGTCTCCATTATCCATTTGTAGAAAAATACCCACACTTGGTCAGAACCAAAATAGAGAGGGAACAGGTGCGGTTTTGGCTTACTTCTATTTCACCTGTGAAAAAACAGTCACATTAACATGAGCTGTACAAAGATGAGGGACACAATCGTGTGGGTCTCTTTGAGTGTGTTTAATTACATGAGTAACATCAATGATCTACCTGCAAGCCTGTTTACTTGATGCTCTCTTTGTGGATTAAAATAGAGTATCTATACAAATAATCTCCCCAGCTAACAGCAATTTAAATCTAAACCATATGAGGTTTTTTTTAATCACCTGGTTTCTGACTTGGTTAAAAACAAATACCGATTTTTTTTAAAACTCATTACCCTGGTATTTCTAGTGAAGATGAAACCAGAAACATGGACATCTTTAAACTATTTTTGTATAACAAAAACAGGAGCAGAAGTGATTCATCAACATAAATCATAATGCCAAATAAACTGAAAGTGAAATCCGGTGCTACTGAATTATTAACCCCATTAATTTACATTTAGTAAATTACCCAGTTATATAGCAACATCGCGACAGAACTATCTAATTAAGTTGTGAGCGCTAGTGAAATATTACAATTATTTGTTTTATAGCTAATTAGTGTTCAAAGTAACGTTAGCCAACCAACGTCAATGCATTTAACTGTCTCTACAATGAAAATGAAGCACGCTGGCTAACTAGCTGATATCGCAAGCAACAAAAATGCCTTTTGTAAAGATCAACTGTGTTGTTAAGTTGTAAATCCAGCTTGGATGCACTGAGGTACGTAGCATTAACGGTAAATACAATCCGAACGACACTGGAACGTAGCCTGCTAGCTAGCTAGTCGCTAGCTAGCAGGCTAACAAAGCTAGCAGTCCACGAGCCATTGGCGTTAGCTGCAGTTAACTGAGGTTACTACTAAGGTTAACGGTGGGATCTTAACTAGACTACCTGGAAGCAACAAAGCATCACCAGCTCGCTTTCTTGCCTACTTGTCTTTTTTGTCCAGAAACAGCGGTCTGCGGTTGGCATTTAACGGTACAGCCAGAGAGTCAGTGATGTTTTCCGCTGGTCGCATCGGGGACGAGCAGCTGTGCTCTGATCCAGGCTGCAGCAAAACCGCACAGTCAGGTGAGCCGCCGCGTTAATTTACATGCGCGTCTACTCCTGCTGTTACGGTGCAGGTGCTTGGAGCGGCCAAAAAGGATGAAAGGCAACCGTTTCTCACATTTGATATGCCAAGTACGAATGACATTATATTACACATTATGTGTCAAATAAAATAATAATAACGTTTGCCACAGTTTTTGATAAATATAACACATTCATAATTTCTTCATATTTAAACTGTCATCAAAAGGTTTGCTGAAACTTTCACTGTAACCCTGTTCAGCATTAGGGATAGCAATCAACGGATATGACTTTTCTTTGATTTTGAGTTGCTGGAAAAATATTGTATAGGCCTAAATAATTCCTGACAACTCATACATTTGAGTTCAGGATAACTCTGAAATCATCTAGACTGAAGATCAAGCAGATGTGCTGTATGAATTTAGAGAATTTTCAAAGTAAAAGTTCTACATTTGTACCTTGAAATTACTTCAAGTCTGATGCTATAGGTGCTGTAAAAAACACATAGCTCCATAATTTCTGTCAATGACCGGTTTGAGATTAGGACAGCTATGACTAGATACAGACTGAAAATATATCAAGCATTTGTACTGTATCAATGTACAGAGTAAGAGTCCCACATTTCGTCCTTGAAATAACTTCTAGTTGAAACTTGAGATGCTATAAAAACACATTGCTCAATAATTTCTGGCAATGATTGATAGATTTGAGTTCAGGATAATTATGACCAGATAGTTGACTACTATGACTAGTTCATACATATTAAAAATTAAGCCTTGCATTGTAGAAATTTAGAGAATTACCAAAGTAAGCTAAATATTTGAGGGTAGACATGACAACAGATATAGTTTTTTTACCATAGATGTTTGGTGTAATTTGACGTGTTATTTTCTGCTGTCTTAAGACATTTGCATTAGCCTACTTAATAAATTACTTCTGTACTTCTTACACTACTTGCACAAATACTATGAAGTACTTTTACTATGTAGTATTTGAGTAATCCAATATCCCTTCTTATACAAGCCATTTTTTTCTCAATAAGTAACCACATCAATATTAATGAATTAATTAATATTATTTTCTACACCCAATTCATTAAATAACCTTTTTTTGCAATTACTAAATGTGGGGTTTCACCCTCTTAAACTGGTGAATTAGTAGTATCCAATTTTAAACGTCTTAAGTCATTCAAAATGGACGTGTTGACAGGGTGTTATCTGCCATTTTAAGATGTACCAATCTGACAGGATAACACTGTGTTTTATGTCTTCTTAAGAAGTAGACTGTTTCTTACTACTACATTTTCTATTTCTTAACACGCTGATGCTGAACAATGATATAAGTACTCCCAAATTACATTTAGTTAGATTAGGAAATTAAACAAAGAGCGTTACAATGTCCCCCTGGATTTACATTAATATACACTTAACATTATTTTATGTTACAAAAATTGTAAAAAAATAAAAAAAAATAAATAAACAAAATTACTCACTCTCTTTCTCAGGAGAAATAATGACTTATTATGGTGGTGGTGTAGGACCCTCTCATGATGCTGACACATGATGCAGTTAGTAAGTTTCCTGTTTGCCATAAGCAGATAAAAATGTTCTGTCAAATTCTACCCACAGCTCCAATGGTAGCCTACTGCGGATGAATACTGGAATCTTTTTAACTTAGGGGACATAGGTAGACTAACATAATTCATACTTCCTGTGAATGCAATCAAATGAATCTGAATTATATACATAGATAGGCTGTGGATTTGGTATGTGGTAACACCTTATTTTGAAAACCGGACGTGGTCACATGTGAATCCACACGTTAGGGTCACCAAGTCCGACGCAATTTGATAAATTGTATTGTATGTAGTGTGCTCGCGTCGCGTACATTAACATTTCATAGCCTTTCTTTAGGTAAGACGTTCATACTGCAACTCTTGTCATTGGAAAATGAGAATAATGTTAGAATAAAGTCGCTAAACCTACTTGTCAGCTGGCTCTGGGCCATTTCAAAGCCATTTACCATAAAGGTCAGAATACGCGAGCACCTCAAATTTCTGAACATGAATGACGGTTCACTTGACCGCATTAGGCTACACCCGCTAGGGGAGGAGGTCCTGCTGCAACCATAGGCACCACAGCATGACGACATTCACACATCTGAACACAGCCACACGCCCTTAAATGTTTGGGACTTTTATTGTCAGGATCCAGTTTACATTAAAAACTAAATGTGATTTGTTATGTCATCTAATAAATGCTGGGACACAATAAACCTTGTTTACTGTCTTAATGTAGATTTTCTGAAGCTTGGACGTCTGTCTACATATGCATGTCACGTACAAGGAACATGTGAAGCATTGCAGAAATGATCGAAAGTCTTTGATTCAGGAAGATTTCTTTGTGGCATCTTGCTGTAAGATGATGAACTCCAGGATGAGTTTGGCTGTCCGACAAGGCCTCTCCATCACCACAGAGTGTCCACAGTTCTCCAGCAGGTCCACTCTGCATCCAGGCAACACCTCTGCAATGACTGTAGCTCCAGAGACATCCACCACCTGGGCAAATACAGGACAATCATCATGTCTCTATGTAGATATGTGATTGAAGTTTCTCTGTTCAGACTTGAGTAGCTAGAGACACCTGAGCCACCACCCTCAGGTAACACATTTGTACACAGCAACAATATTACTAGGATTATTTTGAAGCAAAAGCATCCAGGTCATTCCTGTATTTAAACAGGCGTTGCTGAGTCACTGTATTAGTGGAACATCAAACGTTACCTGGTCTTGTTTGCCCCATATCACTTGTAAAGGTGCAGTGATCAGATGTAAGTGCTCCTGTAAGGCATATCTTGATTTCTCACCAATAATCTCCATAAATACTAATAATAAAAGGAAACAAAATTAATAGTAGGTCACATACTGTACGCTTACATGGGAAATTTTCAGAACAAAGTAAACTAACCTTCTTGGTAAAATGTGTTGTGAGGCTGCCGTACATCTACCAATCCTTGGAGAATCTAAACAATGAAAACATGTTTAAAAATCCACAAAATGTAGCTGCTTTTGAAGAATGTAGTGAGGGGAATATTATTCTGCAACTATATCTGTGCCATTGCCATACACTGTAAGTGCACACACAGTGAAATCCAGTGTTGAGCTGACCTGCTGGGGGATTTTAAAGCGAACATGAGAACAAAGTCTGAACATGTCCTCCATCTCTTCGGGTGTAGTAGGGATCAGCGGGATGTTTAATGTGTAATTGCTGTGCTCCAGGTCCTGCAGATGATTGTCAAATTTGGTCTCACATGGATGTCTTATACCTGCAGGATAAAATTTGTGTTTTCTGATTAGAAACTGATGAAACATGCTCATATTAAGCAAAATTGCAAGCTACAAATGTATAATAAATAATAAGAGTGTGTGTGTGTGTGTGTGTGTGTGTGTGTGTGTGTATGTGTTTGTGTGTGTGTTATAATAATTCTGTCATCACTATTATATCACAATGTTTAAAGACAAACTGGTAATCAAATGAAATGTCATACACAGCAAATGATTGTAGACATGAAATTAATCTATGCTCAGTGTTCGGGCACTCCTGCTGCACTTCCAAATTTAATTTGAAGCAGCAGAAGCTGAGCTATCCAGACTTTTAGTTTCTAGTAGGCCAATGGGGCAAGCACTTAAAATGTTGGATCCTACATTTCCCATAATGCAACTTAACGGTGGTGCCTTGAACACCCTGTTGTGTACGCAAGCGCACTGTGTTTCATTGCCTTTTTAATATGGCTTTATGTACATGTCGCTGCTGATTGGGTAACACTTCTCACACACCCAGCACATCAGAGAAAACATGGATGGTTGACTGACCGTCTGGACAAATGAGAGTCATGCTACAGATATCTGAAGGGTAGCAGGCTGCATAAACCCCGGCTACATTTCCCCCCATGGAGGTTCCAACCAGATGGAAAGGTTTCCTACTTAAGCGAATGGTTTCCACAAACTGAGAAAAATGAGGGACAAAAACAGTGACTTAGTGATTTAGGTGCTTGATAATTGCACCCACATGTCTCATTGTTGTCCCTTCAACATACCTGATGAATCCTTCTGACCTGCCCCTTAATGGAATAATCCTCTGTGCTGGTGCGTGTTGTTCCCTCATGGCCAGGCATGTCCACACACACGATGTGCAGATGTTTTGGTAGATACTAAAGCAGTAGAAGGGAGAAAGTACAGCTAATAATAATAACAACACCTAGTTGTGAAATTTTACATTGAAACGTAAATATCACTGAATTTACAGCACTGAAATTTTTATTATGAAAAGCTATTTATGTGGTTTGAATTCCCCTCTGTGAAATTTCCAGGTCACTTTAAGACTTCATAAATTTGGAAGACCAGTGTATCTAGTAGCTCATCTGAATTTAATTTTCATGTGACTGATAGACTGTAACTTGATTGGAGAGAGGTCTGGCATCTCATCCTGTTCAGTCTGCATGAGTCCAAATTTGATTTGGATTTTGGTAAATTTTCCTGAGCACACAACACAATTTTTTGACCTTACTTTAACTTTTAGATCCAAAAATGACAAATTAAATGTGAGCAACTTGAATATAGTTTATTTTAAATTTATTTTAAATTCCCCTCTTGGACATTTTTTAAAAAAATGTCAAAGAGGGGAATTCAAACCACATAAATAAAAATTATTAATAATAAATTCAGTGATATATAAGCAAGTACAATATTATATATTTTATAAGAATATGTGAATTCATTAGTGATTTAATATCACAGTTAAGTGTTGCTGATGCTTATGAGATTCAAATCTTTATTCCCTTTGCTTCCACATGTATGTCCTCTCAATCCTGAAGTAAAAATATTTATGCATAAGGTAAATTTGCTCTATTCCTGATGCTTTTCTTTCAGTTACTTATTTAAATTAATTGTTATTATTCCAGCTCTCATGGCTGTGCTGTGTTGCTTATTTAGTGTACTGGACTGTTTCTTGTTTCTTGTTGTCATACTATGTCAGCTGTTTATTGCTGCGGTTCGGCTGGTTGTCTTTTACTATTGTTATTATTTTTATTGTTTGTTTTTGTTTGTGTTTGTTTGTTGTTGTTTTTCTCCTCCCCAAGCCCCCCTCTCTGTTCTATTGCAGGTTTCGTTGCTTTCTGCAATTGCTGTTTTCCACTGCTTTTCCCTGTTGTCCCCACCTTCCATCCCCCTTCTCTTACAGGTCTTGTCCTTTCTCTGTGCTGTCTGTTTGTGCCCCCCCATTCCCGTGTCTGCCCCCCTGTCCGGCCCAGTGACAAATCAATACATAATTAAATAAATAATAAAACAGACAAAGGAGTATTTTAATACTCTCTTGTTAAAGTAAAATCTGTCTGGCACAATATGGTATCCAGGTCATCATACTCAGGCTGCTGGGCAGGACAGGTTTAAAAAAAATAAAAAATTTGCTCTATGAAAATGGTCTTGATTTACATTAGAATTAAGATTTTAGTGATCTAGTTATGTTTGCTGTCATGGCTGGATGAGTTCCTAGCCACAAACTGTTTAGTGTTGCAGACCCCCTGACCTTGACAACAGTCAGCCACATGTCTTTGTGAGTAGAGAAGCCATGCAGCATTAAAATGGAGGGTCTTGTTCCAGGCTTTCCTCTGTAGGAGTAACAGAAACGATAGCCACCACAGTCTGCGTAGCGCACTTGAAGGCCCAGAGTCCTTCTCCAGTACCTGAAGAAGATCAGATATGTTTGAGTTTATACACACAGAAATGATGGCACTGGAATGCAAATTTGGGTCAAGTGACAATGGGCATGCAAATATTTATGACCATGTGTTGCCAACATTGCTATCTTCTTTATGTTACTGCTAGATAGATAGATTTAGGGTTTCATGTTGAGGCAAAATATTACTTGACATGCGCTTTCATGTTAATAAAGGTCACATTAATCTTTTTAAAGGATGGGCTCACATTTTATCACTTCTCTTTACAACAGTCACATGTCTACATGTACGTTGGGTTATTGATTGCTGTAATTGTTCCCCCAGTCCATTTTGGCTGCAAACAGATCACGTTTTTAGAGACCCCTGGGAATCCACAGGCTACACTCACTCAGCGCTGCAGGTTCAAATGCAGTTTGACCTTTGAAACAAACTCCTGCTGGAGGAATGTCTGAGCAAAATAATTTTAATTAACTGTGGCACGTTGCAGGGCAACGAGGGGATAAAATCCGCTGTAAGATGGGACTAAACCTCAATGCTATTCATGGACATGAATTCAAGTTTCTGATACTGTAATACATCTCAAAGTATTTCTCTGAATTAGCTATTGTCATTCAGGTAATTTACTGTATGTGTGATATGCCAGATGTGCTGCTGTACACAATTTACTTAGGCTACTTATAGTTTACCTATAATTTATTATCTTGGCCATTATATATTAAAAAAAAAGTACCAGTGCCTAAGATAGCATTTGGAAGGACATATTTAACATTGATCCGGTCCTATAGGACTTCAGTGATGTTTAAATCATAACTTAAAAAAGCAATTTTTGACAATAGTACTTTTTACCAACCATAATCTTATACAATTGTGTATATCTATATTCAGAGAATCAGACACATGCAGAAATATGATTGAACTTTCATTTGGTTTTATTTCCTTTTTCATTAAGTATTTTTTAAGGATTCGGGGGCAATTTGGAGTTTCCACTTAGCGTAACATGTATGTCTTTGGACTGTTGGAGGAAACGCGGAGCACCAGGACAAAACCCAAGTAGACACAGGATAGATCATGTAAAGTCCACACAGACACAAGGTGGGGGTGTTTCTGTCTGTCTTTGTCCTTTATTTGTGCAGCAGTAGCTAGCTAGGCTGTGCTGTGAGTAAACTTCCCCGACACCTTAACAGACGCACTAGCAACCGACGCTAGGGCCCATGGGCTTTATCCCCCTTGCTAGCGCGTCTCCCTCCCGTCGGTTCGAGTCAGGACGGTGCAGTAGCCGATAACCTATATACATGAGTACAACTCGGGCCAGTTACATCTGGTGGGGCTGCTGCTCAACACCATTCTGATCGTTTTGTTGACAGTTGTCTTTTCTTAATAAAATCCATGTATGTGGGCATATTTGCTGTTTTTTATTCATGACACTGTATATGGCAGACTGGATTAGACTGGCAGGCTGTAGTTGGCCTATAACAGACTGTCCTCCCTGGGTCTGCATGTGTTTCATCCTACAGACTGTGGTTGGTCTGTAGCAGAGTGTGGTTCCTCTCTAATAGACTGTTGCCGGACTGTGAGGGATCTCTTTTATAAAATTAAAGTGACCAACAATGCTTTAATGTAGGCTACGTATGGGCAGATTAGTATTGTTTTATGACTCAGGCTGATATTTGGGGGAAAGTCAATAAAATGAAGCACAGGACAAGGTATGGTGCAGCCATAAAAAACATTTAGCCTTTGGTTTGAATATATTTAGATAAACATCATATAGCTTTCAGTGAATGAAAATATAAAGAAAAGTGGCACATTTTGTCATCAGTACTTGGTCATTTATTGTAAAATGTTTGTGGTAGAATAATTACTTCTGGCATTCACATCAGGTATTAAAAATATAAAGTGAAAGGCAGGACAACACAATTATTGACCTTACCAGTAATAGACTTTAATGAGTGCTGAGGGCCAGAGGAGTACAGAAGCAACAAAGGCCAGGATGGGAATAGCCAGCGTTCCCCCTGCAATGATTAGCAGGTTCACCAAATCTAGATCAGCTGCCATGGCCCACCTAAAAAAATACATGAACACACACATTACATGCAGTATTCCATGAGAATAACAAGTCGGGGGAGGGGTAAAAGACAGTGTCCAACATCCATACAATGTTTTGTTGAGATAATAAATGATAACTCAGCAAAATAACATGAAACATCCTGCCGTGCCACAACATGGCTTTCCAAAAATGTAAAAACTTACTTTTTAGATTTTTTTTCTTCCCTCCTTGTTCCTCCTGTCGCAGGCAGACACATGTGCCCCCTGCTTCAATTGGTGAATAGTTTTCAAACACACAGACTCTTTAGCTTGTTTGCAGGTACTGTCGATTTGTTGCAAGCATAGATAGTCAACTTATCTTTCTGAAATTTGAAATAAAAATAAACTGTCCCTGTGGAGTGCAGTCAGTCCTGGCAGATTATGTTTGCTCTGGATAAAGTCATTGATTATTACTCATCATTGGCGGAAACCGGGCCACAACTTATTCCGGTCAATCTTTTAAAGTGAACGTACAGGCCAGAATTTGCTCCAGTCCAGGCTGTACACAGTCAAAACTCTCAGCAAAAAAAATATATAAACAGCTTTCGTTCATCACAGCAATAAAGAAACAGCATATGGACACATGGGATAACCCCTGTGAATTAAATAAATTATCAACAGCAGTGTTTAGCACTTTAAGCAGCTACAGTGAGTAAAGTGAATACAATCAACTACAGGAAATTATTTTACTGGTGTGTAACTAATGATTACTGGCCAAAGTTGCAGTGGAAATGAGGTATACAAATATGCCTCTCTTCAATCATATACACAGCATACAAACAAATCCACCTGCCCACAAGCAATGATCCAGACATAAGGAGGTTTGTAACAAGGATATCTGGCCTGATCATTCTGTTTGAGGGTTCACAAAAGGAAGAAAATCAGATTACAGTGGCAAAATTACATTTCGCTTTCTTTTCATGGGTGTAATTTCATAGCTAATCAAGATTAAAGTAGCAATTCCATTATATTTGTGCATATTTCTTACAGCACATTTCCACAAGCTTTATTTCATTTCATAAAGATAAGGATGTCAATGGAGATGGCTTTGGGTTTTATATATTAGGATGCTGTAAATGTGTCATGTAATTAGGGAGCTCATTTAGGGGTATCAAATGAATTATCAGTGAGTACAATGCTGTAACAATGCAGACAAAACTGTTTTTTGTTACTAGCTGCGGGTTCTGTAACACAGAGGAAGAATAAACACCAGTCATGCTCTGGAAAATTTCTTAGTTATTGCCATAATTGAAATAAAGTTAATTCTTAAAGTAAATTCTTAAATGGTATCATTAAAAAATAAACATAGGCCTACTTCATTTGTTGGTATGTATGTACGTACTGTTTAACTGACTTTGAGCACCCCCAATCAAAGGAGCATTACTAAGTCACCGGGTGTGTTTTCTATCTCCACTGTTAGTTTGAATACATACAAATGCATGCATATCCGATTTCAAGCTTAGGCTTCATGTCCAAAACTCTCCACTGGGTGTCATGACCGAGGCAGACTGTGTCCCCTGTTTGCAGTCAGTAGTGAAGCTGTGAAGGCTTTTTTTTTTTTTTGCACGAATCTGCTTCAGCTGACACTGATGCTTTAAGGGATGTGGGTACAGACATCTGATCGAGCTGTGGCCAACAGATTTGAATCTCTGTATCAGACACTTTGAGGAGGTTACCTTTTTCACCTTGTTCACAATCTGTGTAAAAAGGACTTTGACATTAATCAGTAGTAATATAATTTAAAGCTAGTGTACAGCTGCCATTCTGCCACATCTCTGGTCCACTACAGATGACCTACATGCAAACTAGAGCAGAACAAATGTACGCAGCCACAGTGCAGAGAAGCTCACCATGCGTGGGAATGATTCACATATTTGAGTTTATATAGGACAGAGAGGCCGTCGTCAATCTGCTCATAAGGCACCCATACACAACGTTTTCCCCAGGTTGTCTGAGCTAGAGCCTCACATCACATTAGCCACATCATCCGGGTAGTCACATTGAATCCTGAGAGGGATCCTTGACACAGCAAAGCCTGCAGAACAGAGATGACAGAGCTGATGTAGCACAACAAAAATGAGGATAAGATGCGTCATGAATGGACGACTCATCCACATGGGGTTACTGACTTCGTTTGGAGCTATTTAGCAACAGACTTCTTATCCTGTTGAGAAACATACTGCATCCTCTCCCACAGATCAGTGTGGCCAGCCTGCCTAAAGGGCGTAACTGTGCTTTACCCTATACTTTTCTTGCAGATGTTAAGGCCCCCACAGTCAGCAGTCATATTAACCCATATGATCCACTGGGTGATATTATGTCACACCTCCAATCCTTTAAAGGGGTACTTTAGCACTGCACTCCCATAAAGTTGGGGATTAAAAGTAAGCGCAGCAGAGGCTGAGACAGCCGGACTTTTAGTCCCTCGTGCTCCAGAATAACTGCATCCTACATTTCCCATAATACAACAGAGTGGCATCTTTAATTAGATCTTCTATGCCTCCACTTCTTTCAAACCCCACACCTCCAGTTTGTAACCCAGTACTTCCTTTGGTAAATTGGTAGTCTAAGCAAGTTTTCAGACTGTAAACAGCTGCGTTGTTGTTTAAGGTACAAGTGAGACAATTAAATACAATGAGGTATCACATTAATATTAACATATTTACAACTCTGGAAAGTTATCACAGCAGCAACAATTTTATCTTTCATTGAGATGACTGTGATGTAAAGCCCCCTCCAGCGCCAATGGACTGGCTCCATTGAATCACTGTGACATCATCAGGGGAATTTATTTTCAAACATTAGACATTACACAACTCTTTTCACAGGCTGTGTAGTACTCCTCATGACTAGTAAACTGATCTTTCTGTGTACAGGTCAATGGAGTGCCCCTTTGCCTTTTTCAGAGAGGAGTTATGTTGCTATTTATTGAAACTGTATATGTGGTAAATCATGAAATTATGTAAACTGTCTTCCTTTGAGAAAAGATTTCACCTTTACAAAATATTACAGGAAAAACATGATTGGCACATACTTTGGTGTGCAGAAAAAAACCTGGAAACTAAATAAATTATATATTCAAAAATGAACTGTGATGGCAAACACTGGTCTTTCTGTGAATTTTATTCAAGTCTTCTGCAGAAGGAACTCACTGGGACACACGCATCAGAGTATCATTCGAGTGAGCTGCAGTGTCTCAGCACATGCAGCTTTTATCCTAATCTCATGGTCAGCACTATCTTACCACTGAAACATGATGTCTTTCATGTTGTTTCTGGAGAACACTCATGATTCAACTCTTAAAGGTCTACAAGAATCATATGTGATTCCTGCTGTATACCCAGAACGGCTAAATCCTGTGACCATGACAAGGGATATGTAGATTTTGGGGTGTGTTTCAGGAGCAGATCACAGAGTGCGTTGAGATGACTTCTTTGACTCACACGTAGATACCAGCCTGTGTGATCAGTCAGCAAGGGTCATTCTGTCATATAGGCCAAACAGCAGGTGCCCAATAAGTATATCCACACATTGCACGTACTGGCGGTACCACTGTGTATCCCGTGGTTATGCTCAGTCTTTTTCCATGATGTATTGTTAGCCAGCTGACGCAAACGCTGTGCTCACCTGAGAAAACCTCCTCTCCAAGGAACACTCTCTGCTCCCTGCTGTCAACATCAACCAGCTTCTTTAAATGCCATATGCAATACAGGGAGGGATTACAGGGAGCTGACACAGGGGACATGAGGACATCTAAACTAACAAAGTATTTGCTGGAGTGAAGAAGCAAAACTATGCCTCAAGATGCATTTCCCTTCCTCAAATATTAAAAACACAATATCTGGCAGAAAATACACACAATAACAAATTACCTCAGACTTACTATATGCATCCGGGGTTGCAATGAGCTCAGAAGAAACAAAACCTACTGTAGCAGGTCTGACCTCATCTCCACAAAGCTTGTTGGCTTCAGTGACTGCTAGCAATGACTATTAAGGTGTAAGATCTTTAAATAAAGGTCAAGAACATTTTAGAGCAGGTATTAACATGTCTGTTGGACTAAACTTAACCCGGTCTGTTTTTTCAGTGACAGTACAATACTGTGCCTCGCATTCCTTGTATTATCCTCCTTTGTTAAGAAATAGTGAGTGATGCTAGGATGTCAACTGAATCTGAGTAGCAGATAAAGAAATATGACGTACAGTAGCTGGTGCTTAAACAGAAAAAGATTGTAATATTTTACCGTCACACCGGATTTGGGTACTTACAGCCCTGAACTAGATTCTGTTAATGAAGGAAAACAATCTTGCAAGAGTTTTCAATTGGGGCTAGATCACTTCAATCATCATTAACGAAAAATATCTTCTAGAACTATTAATCACGCTACGAAAATGCCTGCTCAGCTAAACACTTTTCAAATATCATCCCCAGGTGTGTCCAAAATGTCCTGAAAAGGCCTCAACACATTTTTACATGGATATTGGCTATAATAGGATAGAATATCTTGGCAGTGCCCCCACCACAAACACAAACTGATGTATTATTGTGTATCTGGGGCATTCAACATGCACTCAATTAGGGGCTGAGTTATTGTGGCAATATTTATTATTCTGACAGTTATAGAGATGTGTTACATTTAGGAAGGTCCTAACGCCAAGGTGATCCATCTAAAATACCATCATATATATATCTCTTTACATTCATTAATCCTATAAGTCAAGACAGTTAACCAAAAAACAACCCAACAAGGTTTCCTTCAAATAACAGACAACCTTATTCATTTGCAGACTAAACTGACATTCCTTTATTAACCTCTGTCATCTAAAATAGAGCATCCTAAAAATTAAACAGTGTTAAGTATGAGCCCTCCTAATTAACAGTGCAGATATGATAAGGGGCAAGTGTGGAGAAATCACATGACAAATATGGATTTCACGTGTGTGTGTGTGTGTGTGTGTGTTTGAGCAAGTTGTCCTCAGGTCCTGAAGAGCACAGCAGCAGTCACAGCTGTCAGAGCCACGGCAACTACGGGCCCCCAGATCATCCACGGCTTCTGAAACAAGCGGTGACACAGAAATGGAAACATGAGCATCGGCGCATGAAACCACCCGTCCAAAGGATCGCCAAAAAGCTTTGACAGAGGGAGCTTGCCATTGAGACCAAAGCAGTGCACAGATAATGACAGTTACATAAAAAACCCCAGCTCTTTCAGATAAAGATAAACCCCATCCAAAGCCAACTGGGAGAAACGGTTGTTAAGCATTAGCCATCCAGACAAGACAAACAGATGCCAGATGTTTGGAACTGCATGATTTGAGGTTAGAGTTTCTGACAAGTTAAATTTTTTTTGGAGTTTCCCCCGAGGAAGGCATTCTGGGGAATGAGGAAAACCTGATTAAGTCATGCAATGATCTAAAAGACACTGATGAGAATGAAAGATGTAGGCCGACTTGACAGGAGTAATGTGTACCTTGCTACCACAATGCGCCGAAGCACCAATACAGCAAAGCCAGGATAAGGCCGATGACTATGGCTTGAACAGGCAGCAATAGGGATGTCTACAGAAGGGAAGGGATATTATAGTAATCAACTGCAAAGGGACATCCTTTAGTTAGGTGTAGCTTTATTAATTAACCCCTCAGTCAGTAGTCTTTGTCTGTAATTGGTGTTTATACAGATCGAGTCACACACGGCTGTCAATGTCTAAAAGCAACAGTAAAAGACAGTGGATGAGTAGAGGAGAGCAGGTGTGCTAAGATAAAATATATATAAGTGAGTCTGTGAATCTTACCAAAAGATTCAACTTTTATGACTGGAGATTGTTCACAAAATAAACAGATGTTCAGTACACTGTAAAGCTCATGCTTAAAAAACCAAGACAACTGAAGATGTTGCTTCTTATGCAACTAAGAGCTATGGTGCTTTTTTTTGTAATTCTTTTTAAACTTAATTGTATGATATGAGCACTCACCTTTGTTCCCTTCTCCTGCAATTCTTTCATGTTGCCTTTGCACTCCTGAAGTTCTTCTATAAGCGACTGTTTTTCCTGCTCGGTCTTCTCATACTTTTCCTTCAGGTCTGACAGCTCCATCTTAGCCTCCTCATACTGCATAAAGTAAAATGTAAAATTATACAAAGTATAATGTTTAGCTAAAAAGTAATCAAAAGACTAATTGTTTCCACTTAAATGTATTTTCAGGTTCAAATTTGGCTAACAAGGGAGCATGCTGGTGCCAAAAGACACTCGTGAGTATTGCTGATTGATATAGGGAGCTTCTCACAGGCTTTTAACAGGACAAGCATAGTCTACCCTACATAGAGAGCACTGTGAGAGCACTCAGTTTCCACTTTCATTCAGTGACTGAATGGCAATGCCACAGTGGGATGAATGACTTGCGGTTAAGGATGACTTCATCTTTGCTTTCTGCTATTCAACAGTGCCCTGCCTGTCTCGAGTGTCACACCAGTGGCTGATCCCCACCTAGCCTGCTAAACCTGACTGGGAGCCTAAAGTAGTACGCCACAGGCAACAGCAAGCGACCAGCAAGTGTGTTGTTGGACCAGAGGAACCTTGTTGGTTTAAGAAAGAAGCTGGGAGATTCACAGCAGTCATTTCAACAAATTTGTAGATTTTAGTTAGTTAGACTTGGTATCTACGAGCCGATAGAGGAAACCGTTGGGGTAGTTCTGTGCTGGCTTCGGCATTCAGGCTTGGTGGCTGGGTGCTCTGGGCTGGGTAACTCCATCAATGAAAAATCACAGTGGGTGATAGGAGCAGAGCCTGTATTTATCAGAAAATCACTCCCAACTGGGCAAAAATTCTCAGTGACATATAATTACTCCTACTGCTAGGCACAGGAAGAGGGAAAGCTCTTTTTAACCTCGGGAAATCATCCTATTCTCCAGGTTAAGCACAGTCTCTAATGACCAGAATAAAGATAAAAACAACATTCGGATTAGATGACTACAGGTTGCTGCCTGCTTGATAGTCTTGTACATGTATCACAAATCCTAATGTCCTGAATGCCGGCCATTTGTATCTAAAAAACTTAATTCGTGTGATATTTTAACCGAGTGTAAGCTAGGCTGCAATTAAAACACACACACACACACACACACACACACACACACAAATAAACTACTGAAACAACAAGATACCACACGCCCAGTAAAATAGCAGCCAGTGGCCCAGATACACAGATAAAGGATCAAGGTCTATATTTATCAAGAGGGTCACAGTAGAAAATCAGTCCTAAATGGCCCTAAATTGTCAGAGTTTCACATAGACCTGTTCGGTCCTACTTTTATGCATTTCTTCAAAAGAAATGTCATCCATTTCTTCTGACTCCAATGCTAATCTAATGCCTAATCTTGGGGGAGTAGCTTGTCGAGTGATGCCGTTTTCTGTATTTAGTTTTTCCTGCATCTAAATACTGTATCAGCCTGTCAGTATTTTGATTACAGGCAATCCATATTCAAACTGCAACAATAAAGTACACAATGGGTTTAATTTTAAATGTAATTCTATTTGCTCTCAAAGGAGACCATCAAACCCTTGCTGGGTGTGCATGTAGGTAGTTTGGTACACACTAACACCTTGTCAACATTGGGCGTATAAAGCAGCATGTCAGCAGCAGCTGGTGCTGCACTGGCAGTGTCCACACGGAAGCCACTCTGCCATAGGGATGCTGTACACTCAGGACTGTTTTGAGTCAATACAATCATGTATTTGTCTGTTTAAGTGGAGAAACAAACAAAAAAAAAGACTTGAAGCCTAAAATGACAGTTTGGGCTGCACTTGCAATGGAACTGTATCTGTTACATCAGTCACATGACTGGATTTAACTGAATAGCAACAAGTATAGAGAGGGTGTAACTGTCTTATTGAAGTTATTTCCATGGGGTGGTTTCGGAGAAGATCGACACTTGGTTAATGGCTTTTTAAGTTTTCAGAACATACCTCTCTCTGTAGGACTTTGCTGCGGCTGTCCGCTTCATCCAGTTGGGCTTGCAGGTTGGTGCTATCCTGCTGGTGCTGGAGCTGCTGGGCCGCCAGCCTCTTCTCCAACTCTTGCTGGGATCTCTCAAGGGCTTTGAGGCTATTGGTCAGCTCAATGTTCTGGGCACGTGAACTACCAGAAACAAAACAACACTGGAGTTCAATAGGTGAAGAGAGGTGTGTGATATAGCCTACTGTGTGGCCAAAGGTGTTGGAGCAGAGTCGAGCACACACACACACACACACACACACACACACACACGGGTGGGGGTGGGGGTGAAGCGGAGCTCTTAGTAACTTAGCTCAGTGCACTGACCTGGCAAGGTCCTTCTCCAGCTGCTTCTGTTTCTGCAGCACTGCCTCTTTCTCAGAGCGCAGTGCTGCACAGTCACTCTGCAGGTTGCCCTTCTCTTTCTGGTGAGTCTTGAGGAGTTCCTCCTTCTCAGCCCTGAGAGAAGCACACTCACTTTGCAGACCGCTCTTTTCCTTCTGGTGCTTATTCACAACATCTTGTTTTTCAGATCTCAGGATACAACACTCCTTCTGAAGCCCATTACACTCCACCTGCATGGACTGCAGCTCACTGGCTGTGAAAAAATTAAGGTTTTATGTAACTACATTCTTTGAGCAGATGTTCTTAATTGGTGTACAGACTAATGTCCAATAGTATGTGTAACATTTTCTGCATGCTTGGACAGGCTGGTGTACATCAGAGTATATGGACAAGTCTCTTACAGCTGGAAACAACATTTCAAATTATGAATTGTTGTTTTGAGTTTTAAGTATGTAGCCTACAACTAAATTAAGTACTACAAGGACTACAATTATTGTGTCAGATACATATGGTGTCCTCTTTACCTGCCATCATCATCGTATTTTGTATCGTGTATTTGCACCATGTAGTACCTTGTATTTCTGCAGTTTTTTGCCACTGCTTGCTCTGCTGTTGAAGGTCACGCTGTAGATTCTCAATCTCGCGCTCATATTTGTTGGCAGTCTGACGCCATTTGTCCAGATCCTTCGAGACGGTCGCCAGATGGGTCTGGATGGCGGTGACGTCACGGTCCCGCTCGACAGTGGCTGCTTCCAGGGCACGTTTCAGCGCTTTCACCTCATCACGTGCACTTTGGAGCTCACCGTGTGAACTGGAGGAGACGTCTAGCTGCTCTTTGAGATTGCCCATTTCATCTTGGAGCTGCCGCAGCTGGCCTGTGCCAAACCACGGTCAGTGTTTAGATTAGCGGTGACGTTTATACTAGGACGGACAAGAAAAACTTTGTAGTCCAGAAACACACAGATGTACCTTCAAGAAGTTTTATCTGTTTTGCAGATTCATCAGCTTGTTGTTTATTTTCTTCTCTTTCTTCCTTCAGGATACCTACAAGATATAACTGCATTATTTTCTCTGCATTATAGTCTGTGTGTGTGTACAGTATAAAGTGAAGAGATTGGTGTGTATCTAACAAAGACTTGAATTTTTTACCTTGTAGCTCCATGCATTTGTGCTTCTCAGTATTAGCTAGCTCCTGGGCTTCTCGGAGCTCATCCTTCAAGTGCTGGATCATTTTTTCTGTGTCACCAGAGGACCCAATGTTTGACCTGGTCAGGTCGTCTGATAATACAGAAATACCAAATTAGAAGATCCTTTCTCCACCACAAGTGTGTCTTGCTGTAAGAGAGCTTCACACATTCCTGCAAAGTCACTGGAGTGCATTAGAAAGTAAAGTTTAAACCATAATGATACATCAGGCAGTAATGATAGCAATTCAGTACTTTAAAAATAGACACATAATTCCAAAGTTCCACCATATTAATTCTGCTTCAGTCCCAAATATTTAAACAGGGCTGACATACTAGATGATTTCCCAAGATATTAAAATGGGACTATTACATAAACTAATTGCTAACCCAGAAATAGACACAACTGCATTATCTGCATTTTCTATCCAAGCTTTCATTCCACATTGTCCATTAATACAGCGATGTATGAGTCTCGGCCACATCTACATTGCTTGTTAAAAGTGAGTTACTATAAACAGTACACAAAGAGAATGGGCTAGCCAACGTTGTCAAGGCTCTGTTGTTGCTTTCCTAGAGGTGGAAACAAACCCCGCAAATACTTTGCTTTGCAATGCCCAGTGTATATCTTGATCCCCTAATCTACCATGGCTAGGAAAAGAGATGACCTCATCTCAGACCGAGCATTTGGCAGTGGGGAAAAACAAGAGTCAGGACAGGTCAAGCATGTTCACCATAAATGGACACATCAGAGGACCGAGACTGGCATGAAAAGCTGCGTTTGTCTGGAAAACTGTGATTTCATTGTGTCTGGCACACACAGCTGCATAAACACAGTGTACAAATACACACACGTTGTTAGTAGTGCTACCAGATGGCATTGATAGATGTCTCTAAAATGAAAGGGTATCAAGCGCCTGCTGGAGGCTGGTGGCACCCTCTGACTCAAGCACATGACCGCCCTGCTGTGTGCCAGACAAAAGGATGGGAGGTCAGTGCTCCGTCCTGCATGCGTGTATGAGGTTGTGTGTTCCTTCATGCATGAATATGTATGAGCGCTAGCCAGAATGTGTGTGGGCTCCCTGTACGTGGGGATGTCTGTGTACAGTTTGTGTGAAAGATGAATGTCCTCTGGAGAGTACAAGAGGATTTCAGATGAGGGCCCCCCCAAAGTGTTATCTTTAGTAACATTAGTTATTATAGCAATTATGTCTCAGTGGCACAGACTGACACCTGACAAGAGTAATAAAGGGATTAGTTTGCGGGTAAAAATACCTCTGACTAGTTGGGGATATTGAGCATCACGCTGCCTCAAGTGACGACAGAAAAAAAAAAAAAAAAATGTAGGAGAAAGTCTTTTTTTAGCTCAAGTGCTGAAGGCTAGAGACATCGTGCTCTATCTTTCCCCCCGCTGTCGGTTCCCTTCTCACTAAATGTGACAGCTTTCTTTAACCGAATCAGAGGGTTAGCGCGGCTCGCACTGAATGTTCACAGTATTCAGCGAGCCTCTATAAAACTACTGATAAAACGGCTGTGATTGATATTAATATACAGCTACAGAATGTGCTGTATTGTGACTGAAACTGAGAAATACCCTTATGGTTTTGAAATAACTGTGCGAACAGTGTTTGCTTTGTGTCTATATGCTGTGCAGTGTAGCGTTACAAATTCATTCATCATGCAAATTTGATTCACTCAGAAATATGCTTGCACATTGCATTATCCACTGCATTTTATGTTCATAAGCCACCCTAAATGTCCCCAACATACATCAGTCAGCCAACGTTCCCTCTGCACAGAGACTCCATCTTCTAATAAGCTGTTGACACTTGAGAAAATCAGCCTCTAAAAACAAGTATATCTACAGCACTGTAAGCTCTAAAGCCAATCGACTGCCCATGTAGCTTCTCGAGTGTGACTCATGCTTTTTTCTCTCTCTCTCCACGTTGTCAATGAGTAAGATATGCTGTGTCAGATAAGAGCCATTTGAACAGCAAAACAATGCCAAGTCATTCACTTCAGCTTCGTCTATGTTTAGAGAACAACATAATACAGCTGGATTACCTTTAATGACTGATACATTATTCAGGGGATCACTCAGCTCTTTCTCATCCATTTGCTTATCTGTGAGGGGGAAAAGGATAACATCATTTAATGTGAACAAACAAATAGAAATGTTGACAAGTAAAATACACTAAATAAATATCTTAACCAAATCATTCAGGCTATGGTTGCTGTTATTATGGGTCATTATGAGTAAGGATTTGAGTATTTCTAAAAGGTAAACACAAAAATGCATGCTCATCTATGAACACATAACAAGGACTCCTGGAAGAGGCAGCTGCGTAGCTGCTGAGAAATTTGCTTTGAGGACTAGGTCACAGAAAACACACCAACGAAAATGCTAAGAATGAAACTTGGCATGATAATATTACCTTAGGTGATCCAGGAGCTACAGAACTCTAATGTGCTGAGGCTACAGCAGTCCCTGACATGAAGAACTCTTCTCCAACTATCAGATTTTTTCAGATGCAAAATGGAACAGTCCAAGCAGTGAGGGTGGGTGGGGGGGGGCACCGAGGGGATCAGGGACACTATGCACCAGACTTCCCTGCTATTGTTGGACTGAAGCCAGTGAAGACAAAAATGATTGAAGTGAGTGTATAAATAAGTATGTGGTTATAATGTTACACTAGATGCAAGTGAGGTTAATGTCCTCAAAAACATGACCCCCCTATTCTATGGCTGAATTCTCCAGCCCCTCCACACTAGGTCATGCATCCGAGTTGGGCATCTCGGAAGCTGCAGCTGCATGCTGACACAGAGAGGTTTTGTTCAGGGAGTTGAGCTGCTCTCCATCCAGTTGGTACTGATGTAAAAATCTACAGGATGACACAGACTAGGGAAGGCTGGCGTGAGTGTGTGTTTCATGTATGTGCTGCACCCACATCTTCTCTTGTTTGGTCATGTGGGCCACTCCTGTGTCACTTTAAATATTCATGAATTATTGGC